CCCTCCCCAATCCTGTCTTACAACAGACATGAGCAATTTTAGCGACACTCCCTGATAGGCTGGCTCTATGGTTAAGGTGAAGGAGTTTTACAAAGAGAGGTCCTTGTGTTGTTGTTGTTTTTGTTGTTATGAGCTGCAACTCATAGCAGCCCTATGTACAACAGACCTAAACCCTGCTCTATCCTGTGACAATCACATTGTCTTTGACACACCTACCTCCATTACCTTGTGTAGTTGTTGTTGTGATGTGCTGTCAAGTCTCCTGCGACTCATAGCGACCCTATGTGCAACAGCCCTAACCCCTGTTCTATCCTGTGCCCATCTCACTGTCTGACACACCCACCCCATTACCGTAGTCACTGAATCAATCCACCTCATAACCTCATAGACGATCTTCCCCTCCTGTGCTGTCTATCCACCCTCCCAAGCATGACATCCCTTCTCCAAGGACTGGTCCCTCCCTGCAACATGTTCAAAGTATGTGGGACGAAGCTTCAGAATCTTTGTCTCCAAGGAGCAGCCTGGTTTAACCCTCTCCAGGTTGAACCTGTTCGTTTTCTTAGCAGACCCTGGTATACTCAACACTTCTCCAACACCACAGCTCAAAGGCATCAAAACCTTGTGTAGAGATGAGTGAAACCTTCCTAAACTCTAGCTTCCATTAGGATGCTCTGTATTTGGACCCTCTATGCCTGCTAATTCCATTGTGAATTGTTTCCTTGGAATTTCCATTCCTCCCAGACAGGTGCTTTAGAAAGAAGTTTCACCTCCAGCTGGGCAGGAAGCACTCGCTCTCCCCCACAGAAAGACAGGAAACAAGAGGGAGGCCCTTGGAGAGAGCGTCCACTACCTTAGGACTTGAACTCAATTAGGGATTTGAGCCAAAGCCTTGGTTCAGAAGGCTTCCTTTAGCTCCTTTTGCCCTCTGCTCCTACAGTTCTCAAGGGCAGCGTGTAGGTGTCAGAATGCTGGGTCCTTCTTAATGGAGAGAGGTTAAAGGCATTCCCTTTAAGAATAGGAACTAGGCAAGGATGCCCACTATCACCTCT